GAGGCCCCGGTGGGAGAGATCGGCGTGGGTCTGGGAGAGAGACACTCGCTGTTCCTCCACGTGGGGCACGGAGAATTTGAGGCCCAAACTCTTGAGCAGGCTCGGACTCGCAGTCTGCTTCAGAATGTCAGACTTTCTTTTATTGTTTTTTGTTTGTTTGTTTGTTTTTTTCAGGAAAATTTTCCATCTTGCAGTTTTGTTTCTTATGTCTTCACCGTCACGTTGCAGAGTAACACGCAGCATGCATGTGTATGTGCAGCCCTTTGGCGGATGAGGGATAGGGAGCAGCACTCCTAAGCTCCTGTCAGGAGAAGGCAGCGGAGGCTCAGGGCTGTAATCTGAGTTAGGCTACAGTCTGGTGTTCAGAACAAAGGTGATGTGATTGATGAAGCAGAGCTTCATACTTAAAAGACAAACTTTATTTGTAATATCCAGCAATCACTTTATGTAGTTACTTAGTGGGGGATGTTATTTGGCTATTAGTTTTATGCAGTTTGGGTTTTTTTCCTGGTTAAAACACTTATCTAGAAAGTGAGAGATCTGGACCACACCCCCTACAACCTGTGGAAGTGCTGCTTGTGAGGTGACAGGCAGGTTCAAGGTGCTCCGTACCACTGCTGCTGAATTTTCTTACTTCTCAGCAGCATGTGTGAATCCCAAGTGTGATTTGGTGACAAAGGTGTTCAGGTTTGCTTTGGTGTCTGTTGTAGGCTATCAGTGTCCACGGGCTGTGGGCTGGTTGGTTGTTGAAAACGCAATCTGTCTCAGCGGTGAAAGGACTCCCTTTTCAAGAGTTTGTTACTGGACTCCGTTGCATCTGGAAAGCTGTAATTCTGCTTAAAAGTTGGTATAATAGTATTGATTTAGAAAAAGGGTGTGTTTTGTTGCACAAGTGTCCTGGATGCAAGTTTGTCAGTTACGTTGTAGTTGCATCATACCAGGTACCTGGTGTTCCTATATTGATGATATCTGACAAGTCCAGAGAAAACTTCAGTCTTGTGAAGTGTTACAACTCTTGCTAGCAAGTGTGCTTCGGAGACAAGAATTTGGCAAGCTCTGAAATCTCTTAGGATAAAGGAGAAGAAACTGGAAAATGTAAAAATTGCTGACCTTGGTTATATGTATTAGGGGATGTCTGGCTTTTAGGGGTGCAATGTGAAGGGAATGACTCCAGGTTTGGGCGGTTGACCTGCAGACGTGTATGTTTTCTTTCCTCCTCATTTTTCCCTCTCAATGTCCTGATTTTCAGAGTTGTTGGGCAGGCAGAGACCAGTATACCTCAACTGGTTTTTGATGAGACAGGTATGAAACTGGGACATAGAATAAGTGTTCAGTGGGAGTTGGTGTATTAGTGTTCGTAGTTGACCTTATTCTGTATTCCTAGTGGAGTTCCTGATGCAGCTTCACGTTACACTTGATCTCCTCCAGTGGCAGGCTGTTGCCTGTCTCTGTCTCCCTTAGTTCAGATCCAGAAATCGTGTGGCCTTGGGATGAGTTGTTTTTTCCCTGCTACTCTCATGGAAAGTGAACAGACTACCTTGCCAGAAGAAAAAATAAAAAAGAAAGTTATTTTTAACAAGCTGAACTTACATGGAAGCACAGTTAAGGTGCAGGTGAAGTGTGCTGTGATGGGTGGTGCAGGGAGGATAAACGTCCTTTTGAGTAGCATCCTGCAGTCAGACTGCATATGAAATTGTACTTTCTGTTAATTTTCCGAAGCTGATCTAAAAACCACTCAGCAACAGAGTGGGTTGTTTTGTGCACCCCATTTTTTCAGTTCACCCCATCCTTATCTTAGGTCTGGCTTCTGATGGTTGGAGGGCCAGTTGGATTAATTAGCTGATCAGACAGCAAGTAATTTTTACTTTTAGGTGGGTTTTGTTTGTTTTTATTTTTTAACTTAGCTTATAGTTGAATTAAGTGTCTGTAGGAAAGAGCAGGAGAGAGGGGTGGGACTTCCTCTTCTGGTGGCAGTGCTGACTTATTGCAGAGCTGTGCTGTGCCCGATGCTGCCCAGGGTGTCCTGAAATCTCTCAGAATGGTTAGATTTTTGGTATAGCTGCGCATAATGTTTTTGCACAAACAGCCTCTTCCTTCAGTACTCATTTCATCTACGTCAAAGATGTTTTCTAGAAAAAAACCACTATTTTTTGACATTTTCTTAAGAGCAGCTACCAGTATTCGAAGAAACTTCACTGGATCACAGTTCACGTCTGTCCCTCTTGGATTAGTCCTCATGGGACTCATGTTCTGTTTCTAGGGAAGAATGCCATTATGTTAATAATAGATTTAAATACGTGAATCTAAATAACAGCAAGTCCTAGGAGATTCTCTGTCCTTATGAAGGAGAAGAAGAAAAAGTGAAAAGGCCACGTGCTACTAAATTAGTTGAATTTATTCAGCAGTCAATGATACCGTTATTATATTCTATATAATTTGAATGTTTTCAGGATGATGCTGTTAGTATTGAAAGTGGTACTAACACCGAACGCCCTGATACACCAACAAACACTCCTAATGCGCCGGGAAGAAAAAGCTGGGGGAAAGGAAAATGGAAGTCAAAGAAGTGCAAATATTCCTTCAAATGTGTAAATAGCCTAAAGGTAGGTACGTGTAAGGTCAACATGGGACTGCTGGGTACTGCTTGCTGGCAGTAATGGTGATGTTGATTGTGAGACACTGTCAAAATAGGTATTTTTAAATATCTGTACAATTATATTCCATGCTTATTTGAAGAAAGTACCTTTCTTATTTGGAATAGCTGAAGTTTTGAAGACAAAGGCTACTGAGAAATAGGAAACAGTAGGCAGTGCTGCAGTTAACCCAATTTTTGTGCAGATTTGCAAAGTTCTGTGTGATATCATTACGTGTTTCATTGAAGCTGTAGTTTCTTGAGATAAGAAACTGGATAAACAGATTCAAATAAAACAAAACCTGTGACAGCTTGATTCAAAGCACACAGCTTGTACAGATTTTTCTACCCATTGAAGTGTATTTTTAAAAAGCGCAAAACGATCCAACAATCTTGAAGTAGCTTTTTTCCTCACACTTACCAGATCAGATATTTTCTGTCCACTGACACTTTTAATAAACGCTATATAGTGCAATTTGGTTAATTTATCATGAGCATTGTGGTTACATGTTCACACCTGATCTAGGTCATATTTATCTTCCTACGTAATATCTCATGGTATTAAGGGATGTGGGATCGTGATCTTTACTCCCTGTTCTTGTGTTTTAGGGTATTACTGTTTTCTTCTGCCCTGGTGACAGGCTCTGGTGAACTGAATTAATTTTCTCTTTGATTCTTTTACACTGTCAGGATGTTTTTCTTTCATTCTGCAGCCTTGTGTGGGATATGTGTGTAGCAAAAGCTGTAAATGTGCCATCTGATTAGATTTTTATAAGATTTCTAAATAAAGGAAAGATTGCATCTGGAACAAGATGAGTTTTGTTATACCTTATATTTAGCAGCTCTATAGTGGATATTTTCTGCAGAATTGCAATAAGAGGTTTTTGCCATTCCTCAACTCTTAAATGCTGAGCTATGCTGGTGTAGCTGTTTCTGAACTTTGGCTTCAGATTCCCTCACTGGGGTAGCTGAGTGGGAAGGAATGGGAGGTTTGGAGCATGAAAACCTCCTAAATGAGCTTTGCCACTGGAGAAATTGTGATATTAAGTTATACTGATGAAAGTATCTAGAAAACAAGTTGATATTAATATGTTTTTTGATGTATAAAAATTATCTCCGTTCCGTTCAGGGAGTAGGAGGAAGGGCAGCTCTTTCATTTTCACCTGAGTAGGCAGCTGTTCCTGGGATTCACATGAATCACCCACACAATTCATGCTTTTTGTGGTCTCAAGTCATGCTTCAAACACAGGCGCAGACCTTTCAGCACCCAAACATTTAACAAGTTCTGAGTTTTGCTAAGCCTATTTGTTTCAAGTGTCTTGTGGGAAGACAGAACAATCCCTCACCCCAACTGCAACCCAGGCCCCACTATAGGGTGGCCCTATGAAGTTAAGCAATCCCTGACTTCTGTGGATTTGGATCAGGGCCTGGGAACAGATTCCTGTGCAAGTGGAATCAAGCTGTGAGGGAGTCAGTGTAGCATTTCAGCTAAGTGGGATATTTTTGTTAACTTTTTTTTCCCCCCATTTCTCTTTGAACTGAAATTAATGCTAATAATAATAAACGGGCATGTTAATACAAAGACTAGGTACCAGCCACATTTTAACTCGTTTGCTTCCTGTTTGAGGAAGCGTCTCTTTTCTTATTCCTGTTTCTCCATACTAATTTTGTAGATACTGTGGAGATAAACTCTGACAGTTGAATGTTGTATATGGTTCAAAAATTACACTTGTGGCTCTTTGAATATCACATCGTATGTCCCATAGCTAATATGTCTTTGAACTATGCTGTAAGGTGCATATACTGAAATTAATGAAAAGTCACCATGACTTAAAGATATGGAAATTAATTTTAATATTCAGTAGGGTTGTATAAATTACATGTTTATCAACTTTCCTAGTCTTGTTTTTCCCTCTTATTTTGCCTTTTACTTTTTTTCCTTAGGGAAACAAAGAACTATGGACATTACCATCTGCTTTGAATGTTAAACGGTTATGATTCAGCCTGAAAAATTCAGTGCTTGCTAAATATGCTTTTTAAACACTACTGTGGAAGTTATTTTGGGTGAAATTTAAGCATCAGGAAAAAAATATAACTTGGAAAATGACAGGAAATAAAACACTGCCTTTTTTGTGTCTGTTTTTTTTGTTTGGGCAGTACTAAGTTTCCGTAAGGTGTACCGAAAAATCTTTGCTTTCAATGGGCTGAATGGAAAAGTAGTTTATAAATGGGCATACAGAGATAACAGACACACATCCTCACATACATCCATATATGTTTTGCTTACCGATCTTCCAGCAATGAACTGTGCCTATTCTGCTTTGATGTGCTCCCTTTAAAACAATGCTATTCTTTATCCTACCCTTTGCTCTTGCATAAGGTGCGGCTCAGTTGTTAGCAGTCCAGTGTTGTCTCTCAGCTTCTGCTCGCTGTCCCCTGAACTGGGAATCAGTAACCAACCACACGCACGATTCTGCATAAAGGAGAGGGAACTAAAACCACTGCCATTATTGGCTTGCTTCCACTTCAGGGAACTGGAAATGCGTGTGTGGTCAGTGTGTTCGTTGCTGGCAGTGCAGGTGACAGCATATCGAAATGTGTTTGTGTAGTGACAGGTGATTATTTTTTGTGTTGGCATTTACTTCTCTGCCTTCAGTCTAAAAACAGGTTTAGTCTTACTGTCTGAACCTGACTTGGCATTTAGTGAGTAACGGCAGAAGTAACCATTGATTTATTTTTTTTTTAATCTGTGTGCTTTTGTAACAATTGTAGCTCTATTTTCTCCTCTGCCTTCTTTCTCTGGCGCATGAAGAAGCCGAATACTTTGAATTTTGTGCCCTTTATTCCTACCAGGGTCAAGATGGCATTTCACAATTCTACTTTTGGACCAGAATCGGGGTCACTCTTCTGTCTGTACAAATCAGTGGTCGGATCTGTGTGACATACTTGGCATCTCAGGATAACCATAGTGTGCAAAAGTGTAATAGAAGTGTAATACTTTTAAAAACCTACTTCATTGTTTAGCACTTAGGACAAAAATTAGAGTGGATTGGTATTATCAAAATCGTTATGTGCTGTCTCTGACCAGTGAGGATGATGGTAGTTTAAATGAGGTGAGCATACTTCTTCAAATACCTTAGTGGCCTTACCTGCAGTGAGCCTCTGCCTGACTCCTTCATCCATTAAACACCAGAAAAACTGTGATAAGTACAGTCAGCTTTTGGAGGTTGTAGCACTCAGTGTGAGGAATGTACTGCAGACAATGTAAGGAGTATAAAGATATTTGTCTCGCAGAGTGATTTTTCCAGAGAAATAGGTTGTCTTTGAAAAAGCTTACTAAATACTTTAGGTATGTACTAAAATATAGAATTATAGAAATAGTATAGCCTTCTGTTGTATCACTCTACTTATTACATAGCACCCTAGTCTGAGTCCTACTTAGAAAATCACAAACTTATCACAACTTATGCTAGAAAAATATCCTGTCTTGAGGGGGGAAAACATCTTCCTCTTCACTTCTCCCATTTCATTAAATTTATGAGAAACAGTGCACATGACAGAGAACAACCTTATTCCAGAAAAACAAGTGCAAAACCTGCTAATATATCTCTGAATATAGCAGTAAGAATACATGCATTTTGCCTGTGTTGTCTGCATGCAGTATGTCAAAAGCCCTCAGTAATGACCAGCATGAACTCTTTCACACAGAAATTCAAAGCCAACTAATTATCAGTTGTCCCTTTTTTGAAGTATTCTGTATTTGACCTCTCAGCCATTCTCTTCAAGGAAGACTTAAATACACTCAAAAAATAAGTCTAGAAAAATTTGTGACTTTATTGGATGCTAAAAATCATGGCCTTGTGTATGCAATTTTATGACATACAATTGACTTCATTCTTCATCTCTAATTCGACTATAATGCTTTACAGATGCTGAATACCTGCTTCTTCCTTCTGTCCTGGGTTCACTAATAACCTTGCTGCTTCTTCCTTTGCTAATATCCCATATCCCTCATCACGTAAAGCCACTAGTCTGCTCTTTCATGTTGTGATAGGTAATACTTCTAAACTTTGAGCAATTCTTTTTTAATCTGTGTTTGGCTTTAAAAGTTGTTACCAGTCTTTAAGAATTGCAGGCCTTCATCTCTGAAAGCTTTTTGTCCCTTCTCTTTCTAGCACTTCTAACTATGTCTGTTAATTACAGATATTGCCTTTCTTGGTAAATAATGCTATTTTAAATTCTTCCAGACTTCCTTACTTTTCTGAGTAGTGTTGGACTCTCCACCCATGCCCCCTTCTCAAAGTTATTCTTCGGTTCTTGGGTAGGCCAGAGCTGCCAGGGCTAATATTTCTTGTGTTGTCTCTGAAGCACTGCCATTTGAAGGCTGCTTAGCAGCCGTCATGAGACACTTCCTTCCTGCTTGTGCTGTCCCAGACAGTCCCCTGTGGGGAGGCACTTTAATGAACATTATTCTTACTGAAAACATCCTGTCAGGACAGGCCAAAATACTGTTATCAATTATTAACAAGCACCACCATATTCATCACAATTCATAAACATAACTGTTTCTCTTTTTTCTTTTTCTTTTTCTTTCTCTATTAAACTGATGTAAGCTGTATAAAAATAATACTTGGCATTTCTCTGGTAACTGTTTGTGAAGGCGAGCTGAAAACACTTTGTAGTCATGAACTTTGCAGCAGCATTGTGACATTCTGGAGGGAGTTTGTCGTGTCTGCAATAGAGTCGCAAGACCTAACTGTGCTGTAATAGTTAAATGTGGCTCTCCTCCATCCTTATACCAGTATCATTCTTCTCTGTCCTAATAGTTCTCCTCAGTGAAGTCGTAAATCTTTGTGTGGAAGTAATTCTAACAATATAAAATGTGTATAGATGTGGCCTTAGATGCAGAGGTTACCCTGTGGAAAATTGCAAAACATAGTAGAGCTGCAAATGTAACTCAGGATTTGTGCCAGCTTCTGGCTGTAGCTGTGAGACAACAGTTCTTCCCCGTCATTTTTTAAAAGCTGGAGGAGGGAAGGCAGCATATTCCTTTAACCTCCTTTAAGACAGCCAAGTTAAAATGTGATGTTACAAAATTGTTGTTTTTCTTAACTGTTTACTATCTGCAATTACACTGGATGTGAACCCAGTAGTTTGAGGAGGAAAGCATTTCAGTTAAACTGTTTACCACCACAACTGAATTTCACAGAAATAACATGCCTGTGGGTTTAACTTTTTTTTTTTGTCTCTAATCGTACTTTACATCTACAGGAGGACCACGGTCAGCCTTTGTTTGGAGTCCAGTTTAACTGGCACAGTAAAGAAGGTGATCCTCTCGTTTTTGCCACTGTAGGCAGCAACAGAGTGAGTAATGTGTTTTTAAACGTAAGCCCTTCCGTGCGGTTCTGCTTGCATTCTGTTTTTTGAACCAGTCCCTTTACCTCTGTTTAGTACAGACACAGAATACTTCATACAGAAAGCTTTATTTCTGGGGTATGTAACATCTGTTACCTGAAAGAGTTGCGTCCTCTGGATTGTTTTATGAAGTCATGTGTTAGCTCTTTGGGAATTAGCCTGTCTTGTAAAGAAAAAAAATCCTTCAGTAATATAAACTTGGGATAAGGAAGAGAGGTGCATAAATGTATCTTCGCACTGAAATTACTCTTCATAGATGTTATTGTTTCCAAAAGGTCATACGCTTCAAAATCGGATGAGAAGTGTCTGCAATGATGCCAGGGAGCTCAGTAGCTAAATTAATGGCCTGTGTGGAGTGAATTTATAGGCTCTCTCTGAATGAGGATCTATGTCATTTCAGTCTTGAAAATAACTCTATAAATAACATTCTATGCAAGTGTTATGAATAAACAAGAAGCCTTTCACTTCCAGGTTTGTTCACCAGGCAGTTACCAAAAGCAAGATTAAACAAGGTATTAATGGCTCATTAAAAGACCAAATCATGTTAGATATGGCTGCAGTAATTAATTCCAAATAGTTTAATCTTACTAACACAATTCAAAGAATAGATTTTTAATATCCGGGAAGGACTGCTGACAAGTCCTGGAGTGGTGCTTCACTGAAACTGCTGTTAGCATTCTTTTATCAAATCATTTCCACCTGTTGGAAACAAACAGATGATGAATGAGATCTAAACCATGAAGGCACGCTACCTCTCCCATCAGGAAGGCAATGCACAGGTGCATGGGATTTCCTTTTGTAATATCACAAGTAATACTAATCTCTCCCACATATTTTTTTCCTCCAGGTTACTTTATATGAATGTCATTCCCAAGGCGAAATCCGTCTGTTGCAGTCCTATGTGGATGCTGATGTATCCTTTCAAGTTAAAAAGCCACTCGTTTTCTTCCTGTTTATCAAAAATGATGGGGCTTTGTAGGAAAAAGCATACAAAGGTTTTGTCCGTGATTTAAAACTTCACTGATACGGCACATTCCTTATGTTAGGTTCAAGTGTTGCCTCTTTCCCACATCCTTGAATCCCTCCTATTGAAAAAATAGTAAAAATGCAGACTCATGGACCATGCTGGATTAAAATAATTGAAAACTGATTCTCCATCAGTTTAATCTTACCAACACTAACATTTGTGTAATGTTTCGCATTCACTGCTTTGCCGTGATCTCAGTTTCCCTGCTAATTGAAACTGGGTTTAAAGCCTAAGAATTATGTTTCATGCTCTGAAGTGGTAGTTAAGTTGCATTGTTCGTTTGCAGTACACAAATCAACAACTTGTGAGTTCAGTCTTGATTAATCTTCATTTTATTCCAAGTCTTTGGATTTTTTTTTTGAGAAAGAGGTTGAAAAGTGATGCCAAGGAATAGAAGGTCTTCCTTGTATGTTATGGAACAGAAGTGAGGAAACTGGCATATGTAGAAATGGTGATGTTGATGTTGCAGATGTATAATCAAATATGTGTGTTTTTCTTACTGGATCCAGCAGAGATTTGTGGACACTTGTATAAAATAGCAACAAGTTTACTTTAAAAAAGTTACATTTTTTAAAAAAGTGCTTCTTTTGCTTTAAAACACTCACAATCTCCTGTTTCTTCTCTGTTCCTTAACTTAAGATGTTGTAGGCAGATGAAAATTTCTATACCTGTGCATGGACATATGATAGCAATACAAGCCATCCTCTTCTGGCTGTGGCAGGCTCCAGGGGTATTATTAGGATAATTAACCCTATTACAATGCAGTGTATAAAGGTGAGTGCTCGGAACTTTGAGATACAGCTTGCATTTCAGTAAAGCAGGAAACTTTTGTCTTTTAAATACATGTAAACATGAAGGGAAATGATAACTTGGTCTCTGAATTCTATCCCAGCACTACGTTGGCCATGGAAATGCAATCAATGAACTGAAATTTCATCCAAGAGATCCAAATCTCCTTTTATCTGTAAGCAAAGGTGAGGAAAAAAAAAATCTATTTTGTTTTTTTATAAATCAGGATAATTTGGATTGGACTTTGGTCTTGAAAATGGCCAAAAATGAATGACACTAAGTTGACCTTGAAAATTTAGAGCAAATCTTGCTCTTTTATGGCTATATATCTTTTACATATTAAATCCATGGCCTATGATGAACGTAATTCCAACTGTGGTGCAAAGAGATTGTAAACAGTGCTGCTTTTAGGAAGGAAGAAACACGAGGGTTGGGGTTGCTCTTTCCTTTCTGAGTGTCCTGACATCTTTTTCAGTTGTTGACTCACGATGCCATCTAGCGGGGATGTCGCAGGCAGCGCTCACCACATTTCCCTCATGGGGAAAACTTGGAATTTTATTTTGTTGCTGTTCTATCTCTCAGGAGCAGCCCTGACTTTAATTTGACTTTGTGTAAAAAGCATATCAGTGGAGGGAGAAGTGAGTTTTTGGCAGGGTGGTCTTATGGGCTTGTCCAGAACACCTCAACAGTCACAACTTCCTAATCCTGACTGTTTTGTTAAGTAAGGGAATACTTGGTCTGCTGCTAGAGCAAACCTTCAGGAATGCTCGAGGGAAACATTCACACAAGGAGACTTTTGACTTTAACATAATTGGTTTTACTGATGAAACTACACAAGAATAGGAGTTGGGATCCTCTCTGCTTCATGCAACTGCCAAGTTTATGCTATGGGTCTGTAATGGTGAATTTCTTGAGTTCTGTATCTATTTTTAGATTCTCTTTTTAATAACATTTTGACATCAGCCGTAGTACTACAAGTTTTAGTGTGCAATCTCTATACTAGGTATTATCTCCAAGAAGTTGTGAGGCAGGAGAACATCGAAGTCTCAGAACTGCTTGACTGAGAGATGAATAGAAAGAGGAAGATATTTGGGACTGTGTGGCCTTCCAGGTTGCTGTAATTCAGTGCAGTGGGCTTGTGGAATCCAAAAGGGAAATAAAGTAGAAGCTCCTATTTCCAAATGGGAAATACAGTAGAGGTTCTTCATTAGAAATTTAAAACTTTTTTTAAACAAGTGGGTTAATCTGATTGACTTTGAGGTACTTAGTGTTAAACAGCTTCCCATCACTACAGTCTGTAGTTCATAAAGAATAATATTTGAAAGACTAAAAAAAATGGAAAATCAAACTTCTCTGAATGCTGATGTAAGAGCAGCTGAAAGGAATTCTAGCATTTTTTAATATATACAGTTATTTTTGAGAGAAGACAAATGGAAGCATACTTGACTCTTCTTTGCTTTTTGGATGACCTAAAGATCCAAGTATATTTTTGCTAAAAGCTGTCCCTAGGAGAGGGGTGGACACACTTTCTGAATTACAGAATTAGTCTAACAGTAGTTTAGTTGTAATGGCAATTTTAGTGAATTTCAGAAAATGCAGAAGAATTAAATGCCTTTTTGATGTTTACATGAACACCTGTTATTGAAAAGTGGTTAAGCTGAACTATATTATTCATATGTACATATAAAAAGCAGCATGTAATTTTATTTGTTCTTTATAGATCATGCATTGAGACTGTGGAACATCCAGACAGACACGCTGGTTGCAATATTTGGAGGAGTAGAAGGGCACAGGGATGAGGTGTTAAGTGCAGTAAGTGGAAGACTGTGGGGCAGTCATTTAGATTTATGGAGGATAGTAAGCCTACAATATGCAACTTTGTATCTTCTTGTGCACTGTTTTTGATATTATACCTACTTAAAAAAACCCTGAAGTGCATAAATACTGTTATAAGGAGATAAGTTTAAATCTAAGGTGGTTTGATTGAACTGGCCACCTCTTGATACACAGGACAGATGTTTACTTTCTGTGTGTTTCAGTGGCTGGTTTACTCACAGGGCAGCCTAGAAGTAAACAAAATAGAGCTCAGTGGGGCTAGAAGGAGTAAAACATTTTCATGATGGTCCCACTTATGAAGTTCTTGAGGTCTTCTCAAGACAAAGCAGCAAGAGCAAATAAACCTTGAGAGACATGGTAGTGAAGGGAAGAAGTAATTTTGTGTGAGTTATGCTGCTTTTCAGTGGCTGTGAACAGACACTGGTACCCAGCAAATAAAAACAAAATAGTTGACTTTTAAGACGCTGCTCCTAAGAACTGTTTCCATTCCTGTAGCGTGACCTGAAAGGTGAGGGGTGCATCCACATGAAACCTGATGCTGTTTTATTCTCCTGTGGTTTTAGATAATCATCACCCATGTCATAGTCCTCCAATTCTGCCCAAGTTGCTCCATAAAATGAAACACAGGCAATTTATTGAGGGAGAAGCACTAGCAGTAGATTCATTGTCTGTCAGTGCTGTTGATACACCTCTCTTTCTTGAGAGAGAGTAAATATAATTACTAAGATAGAGTGCTGCTTTACAGTGAGCAGGATTAAGTTAGTATTTTTCTATTTGAAATACGCCGTTTTATTGCTTTCTCAACATGAAAATGCTGTTTTGATGAAATAAAATCTGAGTTGTTACGATGCTGCTTAGGCTGGGAGTGCTCAAAATTATTTCATATACATAGGATTATGATCTTCTTGGTGAAAAAATCATGTCCTGTGGGATGGATCACTCTCTGAAACTCTGGAGAATTAATTCCAAGAGAATGATAAATGCCATCAAAGAGTCTTACGAGTACAACCCAAACAAAACCAACAGGTACGTAGTCGTCATCTTGGCTCTCTTTGCAAAACATGAATATTTTCATCGATGGCCTGGGTTAATTTCTATCCAAATTGGGAGTTCTTGGGGATAGTGAGTGACCTGGGGATTGTGCTGGATACTAATTATCTCTTGAATATGTTTGCTTCAGTAGAATTTTATTGAATATAGATTGAAAGTCCTAATATTTATTTTTAAATATTGTGGTTATTTTTTATCTGCTTGACTAGAAAATATCTGGAATTATTAACTCTATAATTCTTTATTAAAGCTTGTATTTCACTGTGTTTCAAGATTTCAGTGGTTTTTCTTCCTTTCGCCTCAAAATTTCTAGGAAGGAATCACATCCGTGTAATTAAATGTAGCAAATAGTTTTCTGTTGGGTAGTTGTTACTGATTATTGTATCTGTTATCTGGCTTTGGGACAGGGACGAAACTCTTTATGTAGTCATAACCTTAATTTTCATAATTTTCTGATCTGACCTCAGCTATGAGTAAATTGTCAAGTAAACATAGTGATTAGACACATGACAGATAAATCCTCTTTTATGAAGTTCATTGACTTTTTGATCTTAACTTCCATTTAAAGCACTGAAAGAACTGACATGCAAAACACACTGAACATGTTCAGCCTTCAGACTAGCTGTTAAAATGCCCTTCCTTTTTTTGGTGATGTTACCAAATGTTAAATGATGCTTTTTAAGTGTGCTTTTAAAAAAAATGATAAGGTTTTTTTGTGTGCTTTTCTACAAAACAGTTCAGATGTTGCAGAAGAAGCATCAGGAAAACTGAGCTCTAATTAGTCCTGGAAGTATTTGGCAACAGAAGCTGTATTCAGCATCTGAAAGGAGTGGTTTTGTTTAGCACTGTCCCTGCACAGTCTTGTACAGTGGGAAAGATTATTTTGTTAGAAATGAGGATGAAAACAGGGACTATTCCTATTCTTTTAAAACAACAACAAACCAAACAACAAAACAACGTACAACTGACTTTGTTATAAAACTGTTGAAACAGCAAAAAAGACAGGCTTGTCCTTTTATCATCGAGATATCTTAAAACTGGCCGTTAGAAATTAGATTTGTGTGTCTGTGTTTCTCTGAACCTCACTTGGCCATTTTCTCCGCAGGCCTTTTATTTCCCAGAAAATTCACTTTCCTGACTTTTCTACGAGAGACATCCATAGAAACTATGTTGACTGTGTACGATGGTTGGGAGATCTAATTCTTTCCAAGGTAAAGTGACAGCTTTTTCAGCTATGTTACTCATATTTGCTTGTTTTGAGGATCTTAAACAATAGAGGTTTTACTAGAATTTGGATCTTAGGTTACTGTACTGTGTCCAATGATTTTATGGAGTGAATTTTGTCAGCTGTTAGGATCTGTGGATAAGCGGTTTGTACTTAAAAAGTGAAATTATTACTACAGCTGTACCTCTGCTAAAAATACAGGCACATCAGCTAACCAGAGTCTGCCTGGGATGTACAGAAAGGGAATGTGTAGATACCAATGAGGGATCCTGCTGCTAAAGGGAGAAATGAGGGTTCCCATCATGGTATAACTTTAATTAAAGTGTTGTGTCCGCTGCTAATATTGGCTTGCTGATATTAAACTAGGTAGTCCAACTGCCTTATTGCCAAAAACTGGTGCATGCATGGCCCTGTTGGTTGAAGGGGTTGGGTGAACATCCCTCAAACCAAGGTTAATTTAAACTGCTAGTGCAAGTGTGTGAGAGCACATCTGGTTGACTTCCTCTGAGGTGGGTGAGGGAGGGCTCCTGCAGTGCTGTTACAGCGATGGGCAGTGATGTGGTGGTGATGATGTGGTTGTGATCAAAGGACAGGGGTGAGATTTTCAGTTGTACTTCTTTAACGTCGGCGGGGAAGCAGTGAGATGAAATATTTGGTTATAATCATAGTTAGACTGAATGTGCAGTATAAATTATAAATATAGGTGGTTTTTTTTTTCCTTGTTTCACTTCAGTCTTGTGAAAACGCCATTGTGTGCTGGAAACCTGGCAAAATGGAAGATGATATAGATAAAATCAAGCCCAGTGAGTCAAATGTGACCATACTTGGGAGATTTGATTACAGCCAGTGTGATATATGGTACATGAGGTTTTCAATGGATTTCTGGCAAAAGGTTTGTGTGAGCTTTGGCTTTGCTGTATTTGAAGGTGCGTAGCTTTTAACTGATTCCATGTTTTTGGGCATGGGGAAAGACTTGGCTCCTGTGATTTTTGAAAAACAGAATGGTTTGCTAGAGGAGCTCTGGACTTTCCATTCTGGGTTCTGTCTGGTGGGAAAAGTTCCTCCAAATAAATACTTATTTTCTACCAAAGCTGTATTTACTGATATCTTCCGCAGAGATGGATAACAGAATGAGAGAAGGGAGGCGAATCTTATAGCATTTGTAGCCCCTCCAACAAACTCATTAAGTCGTTTATGTTCAAACATTCACACACAATTTATCAGCTATAGTCTTTATAAAATTTTGACTTTTATTCTTTGAGATGGTATTCTAAAACTTCTGTATCTGCTGCTTTCTTTTATAGATGCTTGCTCTGGGCAATCAGGTTGGCAAACTTTACGTTTGGGATTTAGAAATAGAGGATCCTCATAAAGCCAAGTGAGTTCTTACCTTCTTTTATTTTTGTTAAGAGAAGGAGTACTTTCCTTTTTCCTTTACTGATAACTGTAGAAATTCTTGAACAGCACCAGTCACTTTCAATTTTAACTACTAAGTAAGTAAATTCTGAGCCCCTGAAGGTTATAACTTCTTATTTTTTACTGATTTATTGTTTATGTTACAGTAGTGCCAAGAGACCCCAGTCACATCGTGCTGGGTACAGTATGGTAATATAGGAAAAGACAATTTGTTCCTCAAAGAGCTCACAAACTGATTTAGGTGGCATTAAGCTGTGCTGGGTGGGTGTAGCACATGGCAAAGGAGAAATAGGGGAAAGGACTGGAGTAATGGGAAAAGAAACATTAGCTGTGAGTATAATGTGGATGAAACAGTACAGCTTTCCAGTTCCTCACTGTGTGGCCACACAGTTTTACAGCACGTCTTTACAGGGGGGTGTGTGTGTGTGTGTGTATACATATATAAACATTTAAAAATAAACAAAAACAACAAACCAAAAAACAACAAAACCCAAACTCACTGTGTGTATAAAATGTATATACACTGTTCATATAAATGATACATGTATTGTGTTTGTATATACACAATATAATTACATACATTTATATTTATGTACTATTTAAATACCTTTGTGTATATATACACACATACATTTACGTGCGTGTGTGTGTAAATATATAAATATATAAATATAAATATAT